GGTGGGACCTTGCACTGTCAGAGTAATTGTATTGCCAGCACCTACAATCCCAGTAATAATGCAAGAACCTGCTCCTGCTAGGAAGTTTACTATTTAAATAGAAAAAAGGATGAGAAGAGTCATGAAAAGACCTTGCAATCTAAGCAGTAGAGCCTGTCTAACCCTTTGCCCAAATTTAGTGATAAGTTTCGGAGCATTTCAGTGGTCCTCAGCTGTGGAATAGTCTTCTCCAGAACATGATTTGAATGTTTGGGGTGCAGCCTTTATTCTATTGAGGGAGCTCAGGTGAGGTGGGAAAAAAAAAAAAAAAAAAAAAAAAAAAAAAAAGGCATGAATTTTGAATTTTGTCCTATGTTGCAGGTTTGGCAATTTCAAGAACTAGTTCTCCAGCCAGTTCATTTCTCAGGAAGATATCTGTGCTGGGGAGTGGTGGAGGGCAATGCTCTTACTTGTTTATTTGCTTTATTTTTAAACTCAGACATGTTTTCTGAATGTTGCCTGTAGCACTATGCTGCTGGGAGAGAACTGAGTGCCTTTCATTCCGTGAGATTTCCAGGTCCACAGTTTCTCTGCTGGTCTCTGGAGAGCAGTTACTGCAAGTGCTTATAATATGAGAGCCATTTGTACTAAAAACATTTTGCTGATAGAATAACAGTGTTTCATTTTAAATTTCGTATCACACATCTTCATAGGGTTTCTCCACCTTTCAGTTGTCGCTTTTCTCAGCTGCTTGCCTAAGTAGCACTTATACCATGGGTCCAGGTCATTGTGCACACCTTCCTGAGCAGCTGCTGCTCCACCCACAGCCCCACTGAGAGTGGCTACATCATGCTTCTGCTCCACACAACTCTTGTCTTCTACCTTCATTGGTGAAGCAGCTTGTGCCTGATTGACCTTGGATGGAGATGGAGAGGGCATGAGGTTGCCTGCCCTGATCCATGTGCCCTTGTCTTGTTGTTTGGCAGACACTTGAGGTTCCAGCTCTTTTGCCTCCTACCATCTACTTTATACGGGCTTGTCTTAAGTTAATTGCTAACCTACTTACTTGCTTATGAATAGGATAAATTATGTTTCTCCCTGGAGAAATTAAGTGCACCCAGCCTGACGTTCCTTCAGAGAGAAACCTGTGCCCTGGCTCAACAGAAATAATTGCCTTTGCCCCTATGCAATGACAAAGAGATGAGCAATCTCTGTAGCCTGGCTGTGCAGTGACTTTCTTCTCTTCCTAATGGTAGGATTAGAGACTTTGTGCTCCCAAGCTCTGGAATAGTTTTCATCTCTCAGAGAATACAAATAATTGCTAAGAACAAACCATGCTATCACAGTTGTCATATATTTCTTGGTTGAGTAATCAGCAATAGCTTATATCTATTATCCAGGGTTTATAGTTTTGGCACCTTTGGGAAACATACATGAAGCACAATGAATATAAATCATGTTGTATTCTGACAGTATCTTAAGACTTATGGAGAAACCAAAGAGAAAACAGAACCATTTTATATGTGGAAAGGATAGGAAAATTATTGATTCAAAAATGCTGAGACTGGTCTCTGTCTGGGAAAATAATATGAACATAATTTTAACTTCAGATCTAGGGCATAATGCCAGTAGCCTGAAAAAAATAAAGTTTTTTTAAGTGGTTTCACTGAAATCAGTAATGGTGGTACAGAATATTTTTGATTTCCAAAGTCACAATTAGAGTAACAAAGAATGGTTTTGAAAATTGTGCCTACAATTCATACTGTTCAGGGTATGTTAATAGTCATGACAAAGTCTTTTCAATTTGTTTATCAAGGAAAAATGTTTGGTTTCAGATCAGAGAGAACAGCTAAAATACAGGGAAGCCTAATTACACCCATGGATCTATTTGATGCAGAGACCCCAGAGCTACAACAGCACTGCCAAATATTAGATTTTTAGTCTCTCTGGTACAGACTCTTTGTATTTCCTCCTAGGTCCTGTAATATGCTGCTAACCATTAAGGTAATTCCCAGAGCACGGAAGTGAGTGATCTAATTCCTTATACACTGTGTTCAACCCACTTGAGTCCTAGGTAAGATCTTCAGCTTCAAATCAGATGGAAAATATCTTGTGGCAGAAGAAGCTGCTTCTGTTGCTCCAACACGAGGACAAGCCAGCTATCGCTCCTGCCCTTGGCTGCCCAATCAGCTAACAGCATTGGTCTCATGACATCTGTCTCAGATGGCAGCACAAATATGCATTTTTAAAGCAAAATATTATCTTTATAGTGTTGCTCGAGTAAGATGGCATCTAGAATACCAAGTTGGTGCTCTTTGATGAATTCAGATTTGACTCCAACTAAAAATGCAATCATAATAAAACCTGGATAATTTGAAAAAAATTAAATCACTTTGGGTTGGATTCATGCTTAGTTTGAGCAAAAGCAGTTTTTAAAAATTATGCCAACATTTACACCTCTGAATTAATAATCACTTTAGGCTTGCCATAAACTTTCATCATCCCATATTTCAGAGGTCAGCTACTGAACCAAGTTTTGAATTATGCACATAGACATAATTCTTATATTCCAAAATAGTGACAATGTAATTAGAATTTAAATAAAGAAGCAAATTGAAGAGGGCTTGATTATGAAATTTTTAGAGAAAAAGTAAATCAGAACAAATGTCTTAACTAGGTAATTATAACAGAAACACATAAATAAAAATGACAAGTGCAAGCAAGGATACAACTAGAGAAAAAAAAAAAATCTGTATTTACAAGATCAAGTCCTGGGAAAAAGTTTCTCTAAAGGCTTTCATGCTACACGAAACAAGCAGTTTGGAAACATAGGACTTCATTTGAAAAGAGGTGATGACCAGTTTTTACATATAATGTAACACATGACCAGATCTTTGAAAATCAATGACAGAAGGTGCAAAATTTTTCATTGTCTTAAGGAAGCAGTATTGTGATTAAGGACATAAAATATCACTTTGTCTAATTGATGGCAGTTCTGAAAAAAAAAAAAAGTATACTATAGGAACTAATATTGTTTATTACATCTTTCTTATAATTCAAGAGGTCTGTTCAACATGTACCACTAAAATGTACAGGCCTTTGTTGTGTGGTACTTTGCAAACCTCTATGCAAGTGAGACAAGCAAGCTTGGAATGATTACCCCTTCTTGGGGTCTGAATTAGAAGCAGCAAACTTGAAGTTAAGATACTTAACAGACAGAAAAAAAAAAAGCTAAGAAAAAAAAAAAAACCTGCTCTGAGTTAATTCTTTTAATGAATTACACAATTTGAGAGAAAGAAGTAAAGAGTTAGAGATTTTAGAAGAGAATAGGTAATAAGGTTGTTAGTCCCAGAAGAGTGAAATGAAAGAAAAAGTTTAACATAATTGGAAGAGAAAGCTTAGTAGGAACAAGCTTTTCTATTGCCTATAACACAAGAGAGCAAATACAAGTATTTCCAGATACAACCACTAACTTTTGTTCATTCTGCCTAACATAGGCACAGCAAAATGTGTTTCCATCTACATTTAGACTTTTTTAGCTTTTAGCATAGTTACACCAAACTATGGGAGCTTTCTGGCTTGCTTTGCAGCTTGAAGTGCAGTTATGGGACTTTCTCCACGTGTATCATTTGTACTGTTGTCAACAGAAGCAGCACAACTGGGAAACTTGCTTTAAGAGGCTGCTGCACTGGTGGTCATTAAAGCTCAGAAAGATACTTTAGGGGTGGTCCAGTGAGGAAAAACTGGTTATTACCCTGTGCTGACCTTCTGAATAATGTCTGTGTTGTTTAGATCAGAGTGGTGGCCTTGTCTACTAGATTTCTTCTATAATTTTTAAGTAGTTGAAGTCTTTATTTACCTATACCTTCACTAAGCAGACTTTTGAGCCTTTTCCACACCTTTAAGCTGTGTGTAATTTACTTTAGGCCATCAACTGAACTAAGAAGTTCAACTGATGTCTTGAGATGCTGTGAGGCTACCAGTGTGATCCCCTAGAGATGTCCATTTCCTTGTGTGGCCATGGAAGGGAAACAGATGCCTCACAAGTCCAAGCAAAGCTAAATGACTCTACCTTAGTGTTGAAGTTAGATGAGAAGAGAGCATAGGGGTTGGGTATTTTTTCCCTCTTCTACAACATGACTTTTTCTTCAAGACTCTTGATTAACTTTGTAGTTAGTAGAAGACAACATTTTCCTTCCACAGGGAATTGAAGCAATCAATTTAATGAGGCTGTGGCAGTCCAACAGATACACAACTATTTGTTTTTCTTTTACTACCTTTCTAAAACTTGGACTCCCAAACCCTTCTGGAAAGGAACAGAGAATGGGGAGGAAGAGTTGAAATTTAAGCGGAATGGGGTTTCTTAAGGCCTTTTATGTTCATTGTAATTTGAATCTCTCCAGATTAAATAAGAGTGCTAGTAAGGCTGCAATCTACCATTGAATGTGTTTGCATACCAATCTGCAAACTTGCAGCGTTCATTCAGGCTATGAATCAGATTGCGAAAGCTGGTGTTCACATAACTCAACATTCTCCAAGCCAAATGCCATCTGTGGCTGCTGCTGCCTGCCCCAGCTTGCTCTGCTGGAAGGGATATTCATAGCGCTGACCCCAGGAAGGACTCTGAGGGAAGACACTCCCTGTTACTGAGCAATAGCACTCAGAGAACTTTATAGCCTGAAATGCAGTGTTGATGCCTTAGACCCCTGAAAGGAGGGAATAATCGGGAATTTCTGGAATATTGGTCCATTACCTTCTTTCTCCATGTTCTGTATTTCTCCCCATTTATGGAAATGGTATGAAAATGGAACAGCAGTAGCTTACCTTCTGGGATGGGGAGATTTAGGTCTCCTTGCCCAGTACTTCACACTCTGTGTGAAGCAGTGCCTACAGTACCCTCTGCACTCAGGAACCATTGGCAAAGGTTCACCAGGAATATGTGGGATTCAGGCATGTAATGCAATCTCTGATACATAGTCCTGATGTTTTGGTGCTTCTCTGTTTCTGCTGTTCCTGCCTACTCCTACATGTTATGAAGCTCTTTGCTCACACTCCTTCCTTCAGTGAGGGGACAGGATGCTGGAAGTCACAGTACAGCTAAATAACTGAACTATGCCTTAAACTGCAGCCACTTGAGTTGAAACTAGGTAAACAAACTATCCGAGTCTGCTAATATATCTTTTAAATGTTTGTTTATTTACTGCATTCCGGTGGCGTGGCTTACACGCTATCAAATCTAGTTTTGTCAAATGCAGGAAGAAAAGAAAAACCTTTTCGTTTGTGTTGAGAGTCTGGAAGCCAAGTTTCTGCCTGGAATGATCTGAGGGGCTGATTTACAGACATTCAGAAATGCAGGTTTGTACAGGAAAGGCAGAGTGTCTCAACACCGTTCATACAAGTGGGGATTGCTACGCTGCCTTAAAAAAAGCAGAGATATAAAAAACCTTCAGTCTTCTAGAGGATGTTAAGAATTAGTTTTTAGCCTGTTGTTTGGGAAGTAGTTCTTTTTCTTATGTGGAAAGGTGTGAGGGGGATCTCATTATTTTACTATGTATAAAGATTACGGAAAGCTATTTTCATAAAACTTGTGGTAGGGTTTATATATACTTACACTTGTAATTATTTTTCTCTCAAAAGAGCAGTCTTTGGGTAGTGATCTCATAATTTACATGGAGTACACGAACTTAAATTCAAAATTTGATTTTCCCTTCTTGAGATACTTCTACAATAAAGTGGTTTACCAGTCTTCAATGGAAAGACTGTATAGATATAAAATAGGGAGAGCTGATTTATGGATGTGAACATTATTGTGTATAAGACAGCTGACAGTGTTAATTAGCTTACCACTGTTCATCTGGAGCAATCAGATGATCCCAGAACAGTTAGAGAACTGGTTCATGGAGCTTGAAGTCTAGTAGAAACTTATAAATACATCCATCACACTGATTGTGGTAGCTTTTGACTAGAGAATAATAAACTTACTAACTATATTTAATGAAAGAAAAACACAAACCTGGCATCAACCAATTCATTTGTCAGTATTCATGATTTTAGAACCATTTTGAAGAAAAACACAAGTAAACATGTGGAAGAAGTGCAACGAGATTTACCAAATATGGATTATGCAAGGCTTATCTGGCCGCTTTTTTTGATAAGCTATTCCTGGGAAAGGGTGATGAACCAAAAGCAATCTATCTAGACTTGTCTAAAACACTTGATGTAACCTTTGATCATTTCCTACATGAGAGCTAAACTGAGATAGAGAAGATGAAGAAAATAGAAAGTGATGATCAGGAAGGAAATACCTAATAGGGAAAAAGTGATGTGTTGCTTTGAGCAGGTATCTATGGAGATAATTATTTTTTTTGTTGTTGTTTTTTTGGCAGATATTTTTTTGACAGATATTTGTCATAAGATGTCTGATTTAATATTTTTATTGGTGACCTTAGCACATAAAATGGGTATTTATGAACTTTGCTAAAAAGGCAGAACATTAAGAAACATAACAAGCACAAAGAGGGTTCAAGATCTGGATGATCTTGAGACTTGAATTTATAGAAATAGGGTGGGAGTTAACAGCATAGAGTGGAAGTTGGAGCACAAGAAGACTATGAATTGGTTTCAGAAGTAGTGTATTTTAAAGCTTAACCAGTAGAAGGTCCCCGGTGTTCTGACTATAAAGTAAAAAGTGACTTTAAAAAGTCCAAATGCACATTTTCTTTCTTGCCAAACTGTTCTTAGAAATGTGTTTTTGCTAAATAAACTTGGGTTTCATTGTATATTTACCTGCTATTCTGCTTTCCTTCTTTCAGTAGCATTTTTTTTTTCCTGTTTCTGAGCTTCTGGTTGTTTTGAAGCTATTCTCATGACAATGGGAAGGAAAATGAAAACCATAAAGAAATAAGAGTGAGAGCTTTTGTGTTTCAAGATAGCAGCAAAAATGAGTGCCTTTTTCTTTCCTTTTCCTTTTGGTCGGATTATGCAAAAGGCAGAAAAAAAGGATTTTTTTAAAAGGCAGACATTTGCTACAAAAGGTAGCTCTTATGCAGGATTTCAGACAGGTAGGGCCATGCCCTTTTACTGATGTCCAAAAAACTCAACATCTACCAGTAACAGAGTTACTGAAGGATTAGAGTTTCAACAAGTGCTGCTGCATATATTCAGATCGCAGCTGGGATTAAGCAACAGCTTGTGTAGGGTAAGATCGGGAAGGGGAATGACCTTGTCACATTGTCCAGGTCTCAGGCAACACAGTTCCTCACTTGTGGGAAAACTAGTCTTTTGGGGTATCCACAGACAGTGGGGAGGCTTGCACTAATCAACACAGGTGCAGGGGACAAGGTCTGAGTGGTTTATTGAAGAACATGCTCAGGAAGAGTCAAGGGAGGGTGTTTTCTTCTGGTGGGGATTCTTTTGAGGGCAGCCTGCCAAGCATTTCAACAGCTAATTATATCAGGAGTTTATTTTTTGAAGTGTTTATAAGTGATCCAAAAACAGGGAGGTTTGATTCTTCCACTTGACATGTGCCAAGTATAATTGGAATGATCACACACTGGTCAATCTGTGAACAAATTGGATTTGCAATTTTGGCAATCACACGGCTTTTGAAAGGCCCTCTGGAAATGGGGATGGTTTGTCTCATGTAATGCTGACAGTCTGTGCACACACACACACACACAAAAAAAGAATAGAAAAACAAGCTCCTTCTTGCTAGACAAATAAGATCTAGGATGAAATCTTACGCTTTTGAAGTTCATGGCAAAATTCCCATTGGCCATGATTTCACCCCAAATCTTTCAGCAATGCTGAACACCTAGCAGTTCCTAGGAGATCTGCAGAAAAAAAAAATCTATGAAAAGTAACCTGATAAAGTTATCTCTCCTCCTAGCAAATATTTCCATAAACTCTGTGTATGATCAAGTTGAAAATGTTCTACCTGTAAAAAAACCTTAATTTATAAAAATTAATGTGAGGGTAGTCAGTACTTTCTTTAGGTTTATACCACAGTGGCAGGAAAATAAATAAATAAATAAATAAATAAATAAATAAATAAATAAGTCTTAAGGGACTTAAAATAAAGGCTGATGACTTTCTTGGTCTTATCTTCAGTATTTTTTCCAGTTCAACATTCTTGTCCATCTGGTCCCTTAAATTTATCAAGATGTTATTCTGAAGAACCAGTACAAGTCAGCTGTTTTTGGTAATTTATTTGCTTTTTGCTTGCAAACCTTATGCACTCTTCTGAATTGTTTTCATCCTTCTTGTATTCAAAATCTACGGTGCCTACCTTTTAAAAGCTAAAGGGAGAAATTGAAAACAGGCAGTGATTTCTTGTTCTAAATTTTGCCATTTTTCTGTTTCTCTTTTAATTATTTTGTGTGTGTGTATTTTTCCCATATTGCAATTAGAACTGAAAAAATATCAAGACTAGGAAAGAGTCTTTTTTTCTTTATAAAACTACTTTGCTTAGGCCCTGGTTCATCAAAGAAACTGAAGTACCCAATAAAATAAAATATTTGTTGAATTCCACTGTAACTTAAGCACACATTAAATATATTTCTAGTGATAAATATTATGTATCTATGCATCTTTCACCTATACAGAATGAGATTGTGTGTTTTCAGCTGACACTGTCAGTGTCTAGCAACCTTCACTCTACTATCAACCTTGCTTTTTTGACTCCAGTGTCAACAAGACACACTTCTTTAGTTACTTCTCCCTGTTTCAGATGCTAGGTGTTAGCACTCAGGACATAATCTTAAGATCAAGAGAGTTCACTGTCTTGTAAACCTCTCTCTTTGATACGTATTTACCTTTGTGATAAAAAGCAAAAACTTAACAATTAATTAATTGTCCTAAAACATTTCATGTTTTGAACATGGTATGTTCAAAAATAAAGAAATATTACAAACGTTTGTTCAAAGAGAATGAAAGGAATCCAAAACAAAACACCCTATTTTAAATTCAATGTATGAATACAAACATGAAGATGCAACATTCTTTTCTAATTCAAACTTTCAATGATGGCAAGTATTGTCAATTTAAAAGGGAATAAAAAAATCATTTCAAAACTGTTTATTAATCCAACTGGCTAACGAGAAGCTCCATCTATCAAAAGACAAGTTAGCTATTGCTCTGCTGGCTGCCACTGATCACAAAGTTTAGACTGTCTGAGAACAAGGCTCCCACTGAAATGAACTGAGCCATCAGAATTCTGCATTTTTGAATGGCAGCCAAACTATACTCAAAATATGTTTCTTTTATGAAGACTTTATCCCTTCTGCACATTATTTCATTTGTAAATTTTATTCCACATTGTAAAGACCAGATACTCAGCTAATGATGTGATAAAAAAAATTAAAAGCATATTAAAATCTCTGAAGCTTACACCAACATTATCATTGTGACATCACATAAATTTACACACATGTATTTAAATATTTGTATCAATTTTCTGTATCTTAAGAATCATCTGAGATTGTGAGATAGTCTTTGTGCTTTTCCTTAAAACAAACAAACAAGCAAGCAAACAAAAAACTAATTATCTGGGTATGTTTCCTGTAATCATAGCTGTCCTGTGCTGCAGAAGTGTCTAAGAAGAAAAGTGACAATAAATGTATCTTTCTGTCTCTTGCCTATGTGATGAATTTTGTATTGAGCTTAAAACCCGTTTTTCTTTGATTGTGCAAGGAAGAAACCTGGTGTACCAAAAGCAAGGGGAAAAAAAATCCAAATCCAGGACAGCAAACATGAATAAATTTTTTTTTTATTTAGTTCAGATGAAGTCTGGAAATCACACACATTAGGGATATATGTGTGAAGTTCAAAAGGAGAACTGATTCATTGAGATTTGTACAGCCCATTGCTTGCATGTTTGCTCACACCCGAATGCTGTCTATTTATTGTTCATCCTGATATCATAGCAGGCTCACTATAACCAGCAATTGAGGCAGCCACTAATAATCTGTGGGAGGGAAAGTTTTGCTATCAAAAATTACAAACAGACACATGTGAGTTGTCATTTTTCTTGACAGGGCTTCCGAGTTTTAACCATTTTGTCTTCATGGATTTCTGTGTAGTCCTTGCATGGAGGCAATGTTAATCTCTGTATTGTACCAAATTTAGTGTATATGCTTTTGGCTTTATGGGAAGGTGATGAGGAGTTTAATATCACTAGAACCAAAATGTTTAATATCACTAGAAACTCCATAAAACAGGCTTACAGTTTATCTTTCGTTTATGGAAGGAAATAGACTTTTCAGTTCTTTTGTTGTTCTTCCTCCTAGATCTGAAAGACAACTCCCAAAATAAAATGAGTCTGACACAACAACTGCAAAACATTGGGACACATTTTTGGTGTAAGTCTTCTGATACAATCTTTTTTTTTTTTTTTTTTTTCCCCTCTCTATTCTACAGTTGCTTCCCAAGTTCAGCTCCTCATTTCCTCACAAGTCCCAGTGACGTTTGACAGTAATACAGCAGCTCCTTGGCAGCAGACCAGACTGAAGCAAACCAGTAAAACTGTGTTAGCTACTTAGATACTATTTATCTTCTCTGTTTGTCTGGAATTACAGGAACTTCTTCCAGTAGAGCCATATTCCTTACCCCTTTCCCATTGTCCCACACAGCTTTGGCTTTGCCTCCTCCTGCCTAATGTGCATGAGGAAACTAGCACTTTGGGAAGTAGCATCTTGTATGTCTTGCAAAAATATCTCAAGAAGCTTTTATCAGCTTCCCACACTGTACCAATGATATTGATTTAATTTAGAACATTTAAATAATTAAGCAAACAAACATCAAAACAAACAAAGAAGCAAAGAAACAAACAACAACAAAAAAAACACCACACCACCAACAGCAGAAGATAAGTGGATGGTACAACCTATGCTCTTGAGCTAACAGAGTCCGCCACTGTTCTTGCTGACATTGATGGTATCTTTTCATCTGTGATTTGCCTGGGGCTGTGACTGTTCTAACTCTATGGATGTTAACACATTAGCCAACAGCTCTGTAAATTAAATGCCCTTTACTTTACCCCAAACTCTTCAAATAAGTTCAGTGAGGCAGCTCATTTCTTAAAAGAAAAAATGTCCTTAGGCGTTCAATATAAAGTTAATGAAAAGATTCCTAGTGATTTCAAGAGCAATTGTATCAAACCTTTTCAGTGTATGAACTATTCTAGTTTCCTTTTTTTTTTTTTTTTTTTCAGTATTCACTAAAAGACTTCTAAGGACCACAATGGAAAAGGAATAAAAGTGAGCTGAGTGAGCTGTTTTTTTGATGTTGCTGTTTTTTTTGTTTTGTTTTGTTTTGTTTTGTTTTATTTTTTTTTGTGAAGAGAACCTCCAGTCTAGATTTCACATTCATGTAATACTTGATTCATGTAATAATCTGCTTTCCACCGATATTTCAGGTTAGGTCTCTCTAAGCTCAAAGACAGGATGTTTTTGTGTAACAACAATAAGATTTTTTGCCTCCAGCAAACAGTCAGCACCCAAGCTTGCTGAAGTATAAGGTGTATTTGCGTGGTTTGGCCTTCTGTTGGCCTTGGACTCAGTAATCACTAAATTATGGTCATTTTTGGAGTCTCTAAGAAAGACCTATTTTTGTAGCTCCTGTTGTCTTTCACATAAGCCAGGTGATGGTGCCTTTCATAACAAAATCATCATGTACATGACACAATTTTACACAGCGCTCACTGCTGCTGTGGACGAGATCTATTGCCTTCACTACTATTCCCCTACCATGTTCCCACAGTTCCAATGCTTATTTTAAACTTATTTTTCCTTTCCCATGTTCTTACTTCTTTTTTATAACATTCATATAATTATGAAAATATAAAGGGGCCAAAGGGTTGCTTTGGGAGTGATGGACAGCTGGGGTTTACCCAAGATGGCAAGTCTTCTCTAGGATAGAATATCAATTATTCTGTGGGTGCATAGTAAGATAACAACTTCTGTAACTTTGAAATTAACTTCCTGTGAAACTTAGGTCTGCTCAGTTAGTGCAGCAGTAAGAGCAGTACTCCTGTACCACTTTTGGTAGATGTCCTTTAAGTTTTGAAGTTCAGTGTCAAAGTTACTTCCATAACCTGATTGCACAGAACAACTTAGAATAGACTCATTTGTTTCTACTTTTGTAAATGTCATGGAGACTACAAGGAGATCATCATGTTACTGCCCTGTGCCCTAAAGAAGTTACTAGCACAGAACCACCTGTAAAAGCACTGCACTCAAGTATTAAGTTGACCATTACTGCCAGGTTACTAACACAGTGAATGTAGAAGAGTGTCAACACAAGAGTGTTGTAGAAATAGATTTCTGTATTTTAAATATGCCTATATTCAATATCTTTCATGTATTAGTCCTTGAAGTGTTTGAAAAACAGCATGTTCCTAACATTGTTTTTGGAGAAGACTGAGTAACAAGGTTGGCTGAAACAAGGGATTGTATCTAACAAATGGCAGATTCATGAACTGGACACAAATTTCCAGACTTTTCTCTCTCCCTGATGCTTTGCCATTTTCTCAGTCTTGGCTTTCTGGTTCTTGATCACTTCTGTTTATGAAAAAGGTGTCATTAGAACTTGAAGAGATTACACTTAATCTCGTACCACTATCTTCAATGTGAATGCTGCATATAAAACCTGAATTCGGTAGATGAAAAGGACAGGTTGGTAATCTTTGAGAACAACTTACTTACCATTTGCCCACGGAAGATACAAGTTTAACAGGGTTTACATCTTTCTGTGTTGATCTTACCAAATCACTGTTCTTAAGGGACAATTCTTCTGTACCAATTCAGTCTTTGGCTTTCTTGCTGTGTACAGTAACCTGGAAGTTTGTTTCAGTTATGGGCATACACACTGTTTTATAATTGAAAGCAATATTGTTTTGGTTCTATTTTGGATTTGTGGGGTAACATCAGTGAAGGAATTACACCCAGGCACTCAAATTAAAATCAGGCCTAAATCATATCTGCACCCTGTGTTATATTTGGCAATGTGCAAGTATTTTGAAAGTCATGGGAAATGAACAGATTGAAAAAATATGGATATTCCAAATGTTGATATCATTGCTGTAAACTTTTTCATTGCTCTGGTATTTGGAGTACTCTACACTGTTTAATTTGGGCTATTAACATTCCAAATGAAACTAGCAAGAACTCCACCATGAGTTTATCTTTCTTTGACTAATCTTAACATGCACCCAAGTCTCTGTGAAGAACCCCATGGCATGGTTATATTTCACAAGTACATTATCTACCTTGTCTTCTTTAGCCATTTTACTAACACTATCTAAGTGGCCCTCCCTGGAAGCACTTACCCATCTCCAGTGACTATGTAGGGATGTTGGTCTTCTAATTTTTCCCTTTAGAATCAAAGCAAAATTAGATCTTACAGCAGACAAAACCAAATGATGCCAAGATGTCCAACAGCATCAAGTTAGAGCTTTGATCCTTTAGATATTATTCATGCAAGTAAATCATGCTTGTGGAGTGCAAGAGAAGAGAAGCTATGTTATTAAAGGTCACAGGACCTGAGTTTCACAATGTCTATGGCTTTCGATTCTCTCAGCCTTAGAATTCCCATGCTCAGCCCCTTCCCTCTTCTGTTGTATTTCAGCCAATTTCTAAGTACTATTCCCAGCACAACATAACCCTGAACTTCAAAGCAGGCTCTTTATTTTATTTTATAATTTATGTATTTATTTATTTATTACAGATTTAGTGAAAGAACAGTTATGAAAATAAACCTCAGCTAATAATATAATAATGATATAAATGGCAAGACTCGATATAATCCAATGAAAGAGGTTCAGTCCAGCATTACCTCCTCAACACTTATTACATATAGATGCACACACACACAGAGGCACTAATAAAAACTGCTACATAGAATATACCCTTAGCTTGTCCAGTCCTTCCACTTTATTACCTCCTTATGCAGTAAAGCCTTCTGGCACTAATTTAATAAAGTCAAATAATATTTATAATAAAGATACTGAGGAACGGAATTTGAAAGAAATTCTTATTTCTTAGCAATCACAGTTTCAGCTTACTTCAGTGTATTAACATTCAAGACAGATACATCAGCACAATAATGCATAGGAGATAGAATTTTCTTGACTATAAACAATTACTGGGCTTTTGAACTGTACTGAAATAATAATAATGCCAGGTGAACAAAAAAAAAAGTGAAAGGTCTATAATTATAAAGAGCATGTTTACAGATTTCATGACATACACATTCTGCTGCAGGGATTTCAATCCTTTTTTATACCACTATTTATGCTTCTTTGCTCTGAATGTCCATGAAATGCATAAACACAAATCTAAAAGCAATATGTAAGAGAATCACTGAATGAATAGGAAAACAGAGTTAATTCACAGATGGGAAGTTAAGCTATAAAATGTCGTTGAATTGGGAACAGTAGAAGCAGTCTCAGGGAGCTGGAACATTTGATATACACTTGAAGAATCGTAGAATCATAGAATGATTCATAGAATCATAGAATCACTGAATGGTTTGGGTTGGAAGGGACCTTAAAAATCACCTAGTTCCAACCCCCTGCCACTAGACCAGGTTGCTCAAAGCCCCATCCAACCTGGCCTTGAACACCTCCAGGGATGGGGCATCCACAGCTTCCCTGGGCAGCCTGTGCCAGTGCCTCACCACCCTCAGATTAAAGAAAAATTTATTTTCCCCCATTTTTACTGAAATTATCCTTCAACCTTTTTTTTCACATTAAAAAAAAAAAAAAGTAACTCTAAACACATTCTATTTTAATTAGTTTTAAAAATGGGAAATTCTTGTGAAAGGGAGTGGTTAATGGAACATTTCAATCTGTTGAAAACGTTTGTAAAAACCAAAAATGACAGATCTTAATCAAAGAATCAGAAAAGAACACACACCAAGAAATGGGCATATTCCCCTTTCAGGACACAGAAAGTGAGACACTGGCCCCTAAACACTTCTTGGTATTTATGCAAGGATGAGCCCCTTGCTTCCATCATTTTATCTAATTAGGTCTGCCCATTGTATGCACATAGCTGTAAGTTTGGGATAGAGCTCAAATAAAAATGTGATGTAAGGAAAAAAATCTGTGGATGGTTAATATAAGTACTTGTAGTATGCTGAATTTATAATTGTATAGCCTTTAAACTGAAAACCACAAGCTGGAAAAACTAGATATGAATAAACATTAATTAATATATGCACCTTTCCCACATTAATAGGGGAATTTTATAGGCATTTCACTAACATATATTCACTTGTTTCACAAAGCATAGATACCATTGCAGTCCTCCAATGTCCACTGCAATGTGTGCAATACTTCCTTAAGGCCTTGTTGTTCTGGTACGAAGCCTTGCAATAGATTCTTCTCAGTTAAGTTTGGCCATTATTTGAGTGATACTTGGGAAGGTTTCATCTCACTTCACTAAAGGCTGTTTGTTTGTTTTTGTACCTACTCAAACTTGTATGGGATACCTACAGGTTCCTTGCCCTCGGAGTGTGTGTTGATGTGATCTGCTGAACTAAAGATCCATTTAAAATATATTGGCATTAGAACTGAAGTTAAATGTGACACAAAAAGAAAAATATGCAATAAATGTCACTGTACTGTCATAGGCATCTCTAATTTATTGATTTCATTTGGGCTTGGCCATTGAATTCCTTTCAGCAATAGAATGTACTGGGCTGTCCAAACAATTATTTTACACAGTTATACAAATTGGAAGATTCTGTAGCAAGAAAAAAACAGTGGCACTATATAAGATAACCTGCTATAGACAACTTAAGACAAAAGTACCAGTGCTCAATTTAAATAAGAAAATGCTGTTTCAGGATGCCAGCTATGTTACACAGGTATTTTTCCAAGACAGAAACACAAGGGTCAAAAGGACCATATAAAATATTTTGAGGAAAGAAAGGTGAAGTGGATATCTTGTGGTTGTTTGAGATGAAATGGGGAACATATTGAAAGAGAAGGGTGGGGAAGGAAAAAGAAAAGAGGTATGTAGGCAATCTGACAAGCAAAAAAAAACAATGCTACACAGAATTTGCAGAACATACAAATAAAGAATAAAGAGAGATGAATAAAGTTTTTTTGTTGTTGTTGTTTTTTGTTTTTTAAAACTTTTTCTGCATTTATCTCTAAATGAATAAGAGACTTTGAAGAAAGCTAATTGTGCATCACTGGTCATAGGTTCACAGATGAAGGGATATTTTTTGCAGTGTCAAATAGAGCTTAGTTAGATGTCTTTCCATCTGGAAACAAAGAAGTGCAACCATGGGAGCAGTTTAAGATTAAAAGAACTGTGACGATATTCCCAGTGACAAAAGTATGAGAGAGCAGATTTACCCTGGAGCCCTGACAAATGTTTTCCACTATTTTCATTATTACATTAAAATGTATATCGTTTCCTTAGATTTTAAGGTTCAAGATCACACTCTAGAGGAAGAATTCCCGTTCTTCCTCAGTCAAAAGTTACTATGGAACATAATATCAATTCATGAGTCAACGCATCAGGAGGAATGAGCCACATTTTTCATGTTTTCAGTTGATAAGACTCTAATTGTCTTTCATTGCACTGTGTAAGCAAGCATAAATACAGGTTAAAAAGGATTACTTTCTCATGGAATGTCAAATCTATATTCAGTTCTTTAGGCATAAGGAAAATACCTGCGTAGGAAGAACACGCCTTTGCAGTTTACTAGAGCATGAAGTTCTCTTGTTTTTGAGCA